CATATTACTAATCAAAAATTAAGTTTTTATATATTTACGGTAGGAAATTTACAAAATATCTTCATAGAACATGATCTTTACTTAATATCCTAATGATTTTTAGCATAAAAGAGAAATGTATAATTTTGACCCATACAATGTATTGTTGGCTATTGCTACAAATATACCCCAGCGACTTAAGACTGCTTTTGTGCTGCAGGGACACATATAATATAATATAATATGATGCATTTGATCATATTTCTGTTGCAGGTGATACTCTGATTTGACCAACATCACAGCTGTATTGTCCTTGAATGACTGATGAATGGGCTCACCCTGGTTGTCGAGTTTGTGCAGGCCGGGCAGGTTTCTGATGACGGTCATGCGGTATCTGTGCGGCTCAGCATCACAGCAGGGGTTCTCGGCGAGCCACAGCACCTTCAGACGGCTCAGCTGCTGCAGATGCTTCAGCTCCGACAGACTCGGGATGCTGTTGCGTCTCAGATAGAGCTCGCTGAGGTGCTGACACGACGAGATGTGCTCCAGAGACGAGATCTGATTAGCACTGAGAACACACACACAGAGTTATTACAGTCATATGATGAGATTTATTATTATGGATTACTGCCAAAACACTCAAAACAAACCTCAGTGTGAGAACCTCGATGTTAGGAATCTCCACAAATATAGAGATCTGTGGATAAAATCAACACATAGTGAGATATCGCACTGAGATGGTATCATTTGGTAATACCACGGTACTTCGATACATACTATGGTACTGAATAAATTATAGAATATTTTAATATAGTTTTAATAATATTTTGAAATAATAACTATATAGTAGTGCTGTCAAACGATTAATCGCATCCAAAATAAGTTTTTGTTTACATATGTGTGTACTGTGTATATTTATTATGCATATATAAATACACATGCATGTACATATTTTTAAAAAATATTTACATGCATATATGTATATTCATATAATTCAAATTATTTATAAATATATTTAATATATAAACAACATATTTTTCTTAAATGTATACATGCATGTGTTCGTAATAAATATACACAGTACACACACATATATTATGTAAACAAAAACTTTTATTTTGGATGCGATTAATCGCGAT